AAATAGACGAATACCATGGCAATGTTCCCGGTGCCATGTCTAAAAGCATGATTACATTATCAGTGAAAACCAAACTTATGGACAGTGCATGGATATAAAAAGGATAACAAACGAGGAACAAATTTACCGAAGGTGACTGCTTACTGCAACGAGTTTGTCAATTTCCTGCATACCGTTGACCCCATAAAGATACAATTTTTTGATGAGGCTAGAGTGAGAGTCATCAAAAATATGAACCTGACCTTCAGCCATGCCCTTCAAGATGAGCATGCTGTCAAAATACAATGTTATACAAAATCTTTATTACGTATTTGAATATGTAACTTTTAACTATTATACATCATTTGGCTGATAATTGTAGTACCTGGTAATAATCACATTTCTTACACAGTGAGTGATGTATATTTTTCACTTGGAATTTATTTTTTTCTTATTTTCACTGAAAGAATGAATCAGTGAAAATAGAATCCTGTAAAATTACTTTTTTACTCATATTTTACATTTTACTCATCAAAAATCAGTGAAAAATAAACTTCATACATATCGGCCAAAATGTCTTTTCAGTTACCCCGGTAAAATTAATTCCAGCTTTTGCTTTAAAATATTTTACAGTAACATATTTTTGTCTGCAGGAAGTCAAGCTGCACCGGAATGCCAGGGAGCGTGAGAAGTATGATAATCTGTCAGAATTATTTGCCGTAATCAACACCCTCCAAAATTTAGAGAAAATGTACATCAAAGATGCGGTCACACCAAAAGAGTGAGTAAAGTTGACAAGGGGTACACTTGATGTGTTATAATTTTGCTTATAAGTATTTTTGTGAAAATCACAAATATTAAATGGATAATTTAACCATACAGGATTCCTATGTGAGAGCGTTTTAAAGTTAATTCATTGTGCATTAGAATGTGTTCTACCAATATCCCAAGAACCCATTTGATTTGAATAAAATGTTATAATTTGGTCATCCAGGTTAATCTATCAACCTGGTCAGATTTTCTTAAAAACTACATACGGTAATAATCACATATCAAACAATTTAAAGATATTTCTGAATATATTTGTAGATCCACTGTTTTGAAAATTACCAGTACAGTATATAGTACAGTCTTGACAAACAAAACTTAACTTCCAAGCTGATATCAGCTGGCTATGCTTTTTCATAGATACTTATAATTTTTAAAGTGAATATCATTGTCGTCAATAGTTCCAACTGTTTGTTTTTTTAATCTAATTTTCTATACTTATTTTACACATCCCATTGTTTATTATGTTGAGAAATCAAACCTTATCAAATACATGACGGGGTCTATAATTAATCAATCGATGCTAATTATTATTATCATTGTTATGTGATAGATACACTGTAGCATGTTCAAGGTTACTGGTGCAGTATAAAGCAGCTTTCAAACAAGTGCAAAGTGACGAATATCAGACAGTTGAAATTTTCTGCAACAAATTCAGGGTATGTTGATCCTTATTGAAAGTAAAATGCCCTGTCAGTATCTTTTTTTAGTGCCATTTTCACTCATTGCAGTTTTGAGTTATCAAAAAAAAGGAACTGGCTTCAATATGCAAATGTAAATGAGAATTACTTGGTTGACCAATCTGAGATCACTTCGAAAATTAATTCCCACTCTGTAGTTGATGCACATGAGAGAAACATTCTACAATGTGCTTGTTTACATAGAGTGATATGTATACATGTTTCAGGGCTGCTCATTATTCCAATCTCTTATTGCACAATGTGTTTGTCTGCATAGAACAATAAATGTATACATGTTCCAGGGCTGCTCACCATTTCAACTTCATATTTTGTACTATGTGCATGTTTTCATAGAGCAATATATGCATACAGGTTCCCGGGCTGCACATCATTCCGACCTCTATATCATTCAGGTTTTGAATACAAAAAAATAACTTTTTAGCTACCTTGTATTTTTCTAATAAAAAAAACATATTTGCTGTATTAGCTTTTTCAGCACCAGACTTTCTCGCTCAAATTTTTCTGAATTTTTTTTCTGTGTTCATCAATATTTTATGGAAATGAAATTTTGGAGCCAACAGGCACAATTTGAGTAAATTTTCGTTATTTACTCGAAATATTTGGCTTTTTTTGTACCAATCTTCTGAAGGAAGTACAGACTATAAACAGGAATATTTTGTGATGAAAAGAGGGAACTGGTGAGGAAAGGGTTAAAATCTCTTTTTTTTTTATGTTAATATTTGTGAATTTGATTTGAATCCAGTCAGTAACACATCCTAGATATTGATGTTACCTAATAACCTTCCAAATTCTAGATTTTTTTTTTTTCTCTCTTAGTATCTTTTATGACTTTGTCATGGTATTTTTCGTCTTTTCATCTTGTAGTTTTTTGTGCATTATATCCATTATCATCCATTCCAATGGATGTTAAGTGATGAAATTAAATAAATAAATAAATAAAATAATTAATTAAATAAATAAATAAATAAATAAATAAATAAATAAATAAATAAATAAATAAATAAATAAATAAATAAATAAATAAATCAGGCATTGTGCTATGTAACAATTTCAAAAAGTTGGTTGGGTATATCTTGAACACGACAACTCCGAATATTAAACATCTACGCTTTTCTTTTTATAACAGTTGAATTGCCCAGCCGCTTATGGAAAGAATACGAGAAGATCGACCAATCACAATCAAGGACG